ATTTTATTAAAACTTATTGACTCATTAGCAATAAATATAATATATTTATGCTTTTGTTACAAATATAATGTTATTTTTATATAAAAACCTAAATTTATTTGACTGTGTTTACGGCAATGAGATGCACAAGACGAGTGCATGGTTTAAACATAGCTGTACCATAGGTTAGAGCGGGTCGATTTTTTTCTATAAAACCGTGTATGCTGTAAATTTTCTAGGAATATCATGCTGGAGAATTTTGCCTCAGAAACAAGGGGTTAAAACCGTTTGCGATCCAGCGATTTTTAAGGCAGAGCTTAAAAAAATCTGAATAATCGATTGTGTGGAACATATGTGATATAGTTGTCTGATGAAATGTATATCAAAAATAAAAACGTACGAAAATTAATTTGGATATCTTCAAAATTCGTCAGTTTCTTAAACATTTCAAATTTTTCTGATCCTTTAAATAAATATTTTCACATATTTGCGACACTAAAGTAAAAGAAAATCCCTTACTAAAACCTTCTGATGAAAGTCATTTTCCCCAGCTTTAGGCCATTTTTTCTTATAAACATTTTATAAGTTTTATTTTTTTTAGGACTCAGTGTTGTAGGTAAAATTTTTGTTTTCAAAATGTCTGTTTTCTACAAAACATTTTTCTTTCGGATAATTTTTTCTTTAAAAATTTTATCAGCAATATTTCCCAAAATTTTTTCAAAATTCTTTCGTCTCTTTATTATAGTCAAATATACACAGGCAGCATTCTAATCAGTAATTTTTGTGTCTAAATCTGTTTTAAATTAAAAAATAACTAGCAGCAACATTTGGTCTAAAATCTCCACTTAAATGTGCTGCAAACTGAATAATTAAAATTTTTTTTTTTTAAATCTGTGCTCAAAGATATCAAATAAGGTTTTTTCAGACATTGTTTTTTGTCTAATTTTTTTTTTTAATATTTCGAAATTAAGTTTTTTTTTTTTTTGAAAAACCAAAAAATCTATATAATTATGAAAAGTCCAAAACTTAAATATGCGCTCGTGTATATATCAAATAAAGTTGTTCTAAATATTTTTCCCATAAATGTTTTTTTAAATATTTTGAAATTAAAAAAAATTAATTTTTTGAAAAACAAATTTTTTTTTTAATTATGAAAAGCTCAGAATTTAAATACGCGCTCATAGATATCAAATAAAGTTGTTCTAGATATATGTTTCCCATAAATTTTTTCTTTAATATTTCTAAACAAAACTTTTTTTTTGGTTTTTCAAAAAGAAAAAATTTTAATTATTAAAAATCCCAAAATATTTTTTTAATATGAAAGCAATGTAGTATCATAAAAAATTCTTGCAAGCAAAATTTTATAAGCAATCATCTTTTCTCTGACTCTTCTAAACATCTTGAAGACCAACTAGCAAATTTGTAGCCACAACAGCACATCATTTACTGTAAACGTTTTGCTTGTTCCTGCAATTTTTCTTTTAGCCAATTTTTCTACATTAACTTAGTTCGATTTTCCCTCTCCCTTACTCTCACCCTACTCTGCGCTTCAGACATTCTCCGGTTCGGGTAACTTTCGTTCGCAGCAATGACACACCAACGCGCTAAGCCGTTGCCCCAGCGCCGACCAAACGGTCAGTGACATCGAGGACATATTACAGCTGGAGCTGTGCCGCAGCGACGCCGCCTCCTTCTGCAGCTGTTGCTGTTGCTGTAGCAGCGCTGCAAATGCGCCGTTATTCGAAAGCGAGTTCGTTGTCGTCTCCGAGCTACCCCGTTGTCAAATTTTCGGCGGTTCATATGAGGACCCACTAGCCATACCCAAGTCAATGCTCAAACTCGGTTCGGTCTCGGCCAGCTGAGCGGGCGTTATAACGCGCGGCAAGCCGGTCGTTATTAATATTGTGTCGCTGGCATCAACGCTGCCGATGCGTATGGGCGGCGGTAGACAAGTGGGCATTTCACTGCCACCGCCACCGCTGCTATGTAGCGTATTGTTGCTGTTGTTGTCGTCGCCGGTGCCGGTGGTGCCGCCATCATGGCGCGATGACTTGCGACTGCTATCGCCGCCGCCACCACTGCTACTGCTGTAGCGCGGATTGCTGGTGTGACTGCATGGCACGTCTAAGCTGTAGGCGCGTAGGCGACCGGCATTAACCAGCTCCGAGTGGGTGGGCAGACCGGCGCCCGCGGCCAACGATTTGTGACGCAGACTAGGGGACTGCAGGTTATTCGAGATGGTGCAGCAAATGCTTTGCGGCTTGCCGCCACTGCCACTACCGCCGAGCAGCGGATCAATAGTGTGATTGACACCGGTCAGACCAGTGCCGTTATTGTTGCGCGCCGGGCACGGTGAACTTCGTGTGCTGCCGAAACGCTTGCCGCCCTTGTCGAATGAAAAGCCAAAGTAGTCGGAAAACTGTTTGAGACGTGTCTTCCAGGTGGACTTGGAAACGGTTGCACCGCCAATGCCATTGCCGCCTAGACCGTTGGACGTGTTGCCAGCCGCGGCGGCAGCAGCTGCAGCGGCGGCGGCGGCAGCACAGCAGTGTTGCTGTAGTTTCGGTTGCAGCAACTGGGTGGGCGAGAGATTGCCATTCGACGATGACTGTAAGTGCTGTAGCTGCTGCTGCATTTGCTGCTGGTGTAACTGCTGTTGATGCTGGCTGATGTGGTGTGTATGGTGCAAATGTTGATGCTGGCAAGACTGACTGGTGCATGCGCCGCTGACATGTGCCGCCATGCCGGCGCTGCACTCCACATTTGGCACATTGTTCGGATTGAGTGGCTGCGTGGAAGACTGCGTAACACCCGTGATGCCGCCAGCGACGCCTGCGACATTCATATTCAGATCGTCGCCCAGACGGCTGGCGGTCGCCTCGATACTGCCACGGTTTTGACGATTATAGAAGACATTGCTGTCGGAGATGACTTGCTGTAGACCATCCGAGAGACGTCGATTATTGGTGCTATACTGGTCCAGACTGACCGCGCGGTTAGAGCTGAAGTGACAGCGATTGGTGTGGTAGCCGTGTATGTTGCCGTAAGAGTTGCGTATGCGTTGTCCACCGCCGCTACTGCACATCTCACCGATCATGGAGGGTCGTTTCTCGCGCGATGACTTACGCGATGTCGAATGCGAGGATTTCGAACGGTTGCTGCTGCCTTCAGTGTCCACTTTGAATTTGGAAGTCTTCTCGGCGACCTGCAAGAGTAGTTGTGATGAGGGTTTTGTTTCGGAAAGGGCTGTAATTAATTCTTAAGAGTGATCATATGCAACTTGAACAGCTAGTAAACAGTGGGAAGACATGCTTTTAGGCTTTTAAACTTTAATTGTATAGAAATCGAGTTTGGATTTTTTAGAGCAGATGCCTCTAAAATGGATGGATATTTTCTCAAAAACTTTGTGTACATACATATACATTTTTTTCCAATATTTTTCCATGAACATGGATATGCATTATTGAATAAATTCTTATTCCTGGAGAATTAAACACTATGGCGTGAAATCGAGCATATCTTTTGGATTCATAGTAATTTCTAATGTATTGTTATATTTTTGCAACTTTTTTCCATGGAGTGGCAATTAAAACATCTTAAAAACGCTACAATGTGCTCCTTAGTTAGTGTTAAAAGAACCACAGAATTCTGATATCAATTTAAAATCGATAATTTTTCAAAAAAAAAATATATATGTCGATATAGTATTGAGGTCGTTTACTGGTTGTCGGTTTGGATATAAGTCCCGTTCATTGCATTCAATCAAAAAATTGCTCCGAACTGTCATTATTATATCATGTCTTATGAGCCTTCCTTAAGAAATTCATAACTCATTGGTCTTATTTTGTTTCTATTATTATTTATTTATGTTGTTTCTTTCATGGCATAAATCAATTTCTTGAGCCACCTCTATGCTGTAAAACTGTTTGAATTATTTGAAGGTTGTCAAAAAAGAGGTTAAAAAAAGTATTTCAAACTTAATTCGTACTTCATAAAACCTCTAAATTTGCCAATACTTTTAGGCTGAAAAATATTATTGAAAGAGTGTAAATCTTGAACTTTAAAGCTTCGTCGGCCCAAAAATTCGTCTTACAAAAAGATAGAAAATTCATTAATTCCTAAAATTACGCTATTATGTAGTACGATTTTAGTGGTCTACATTCATAAAATTTGTCCTAATTAGAAGCTGCTCTTAAACTTCTGGTGATGTTATAAAGTTATATTTAAGGTATAAACTCCTAAAACCACCCACAAAATAAATTAATAGAAGTAATGAGCTGCAATATAAGAGTTTCAAAATAAGTAGCATATTTCTAGATCATTATAACCGCTGCGTGTAGTATTTCACTCAGTCTCCTTCTTTTCATGTAACACTTACACCATAGAACAGCTAATTATTTCCAAAACCTACCATTATGCCACACCAATTATGCATACCGCTTTAAAGTAGGCGAGAACGACAAATTAAAGCATACTTTTATGCTGCAACACTAACTTAACGGTTTACAATTACAGAATTTGTTGCACACGACGGCCAGGTGCTTAATTTTAGCTGTCATAATGCTTAAAACAACTTAAGTGACCCCCGAAATTATGCAATCATTTTTAATTATACAGCGTACAGCAACTTTTGCAAGAGCAAAACGTAAAATAATCAACAACTAAGCATAGGAAGTATTTGCTGGCTTTGCAGCAGTTTAGCGCTGTTGTTGCTTCAAGTGTGGCATACTTTTGTGCGCGCCGCAACCGCAATAATTGTAAAACTTGCCGTGCCAGTTGCTATTGTTGTGCTCTTGTGCGGCTTTTATTGGAAAAGGGATTGTCATAAAAATTAAAACCGCAACAAAACAAAAACAAAGGCAAAAATATACATTACAATTTATATGGCGCAAAGAGTGTAGCATACAACAGGGCTGTAAATACAAAAATAACAACAAGAATTAATTACGCGGTTACAAAAAAATATGCAACGATATTTATCTCACGCCTTTATGCACACAAACGTACATTGCGGGCGCTCTCTTGCTGTGCGCTCTTCGCGCGCGCTAGTTCGCGTCTTGCTCTCACTAAGTCACTACCGAGTAAAACTCATCATTCAGCCAATCATACAGTGCGCACCGCGTGCTGCGATGCCTGTCTGCGCTTAATCATTGTATATTAAAATAAAAAGCTGTAAGTTGTAAGTATTTACAAGCGTCACGCCGACGGCTCAAAAAGGATTAGCGCGCGCGGTCCTGCCATATTTTTTCGCGCTTCGTAGGCTTCTTATTGTTATTGTTTGTACACAGTGTTATTTTGTATGTAAATGTATATAATGCCAGGCAAATGGTCATAAAGATGAAGTTCTGTACGTGGCTGCTCGGCGCACATAAGTAGGCAATATACAAGGAAATAAGTTCTTTTATCATTTACTTTGCTTTTGTGGTGGTATTGCGCTCTACACCGCTTTAAAATGCTGGTTCGTGTTTATTGTGGGTAGCTTAAATGGCATACAATTTAAAATTAAGCAACTCCTAATGTTGCACTCCTAAAGGGAAGGCATTGAGTAGGCAATTAGTTGTTTAGTTTGGGTTTTTTTTTTAATGATAAAAAGACGGAGAATGAACAACAGGAAGATAAAGGAAGCTCACTTTACAACAGCGTTTTCGCATTTGAGTCTGACATATGTACAAACCCTAAAGAGAGTCTGGCCAAAAAAATTTTTTTTTAGAATTGCCTTAAATTAGTATTACGATTTAGTATCTACTTTTCTGAAAAGACATTCCTCGACTAAAATAAGCCATAGAGTCAATTTAAGGTCTTTAGTTGCACATAAAAACATAATCCCGATCTTCGTAAAATTTTTTTTAACTCTCATTCTGCTTCCAGGTTCTTTTTAGCCAACTGCTTTAAAAGACTTGTATGTCCAGAACAAGATTTAAGTTCCATAATCAGAAAACTAGTCGCTCAAAAACCCTAATTTTCTTGTTTTTGAAAATTTTGGGTGCTGTGGGCTTTTCCATCAGGATCTCTTTAGTCAAAGACTTTGAAAGACTTCATTGTCTGAAACAAGATTAAATCTCAGTAATCTGAAAGCTCTAAGAAACCAAGAAACGAATATATTTTTTTTAGACACCAGCGAGCTCAGCTCAGCAATACAGTTCAAGGCCGCCTCCTTACGCTCACAGAAGACGAAATCACATAACATTTATACAAATACAGTATTAATTTATTGAGCGCATCATACCGAATAGCTACTTACATCCACTTCGGTTGCCGTCTCGGAATCACCACTCTCACTACCCTCGGGTAGATCGTGTAATTCGGCTGCCAAGCATTGCGGCTCATCGACCGAGGTGCGTGATGCCGATTTCTGTGATGGTATACTCCGGCGGGACTTCACACTAATGCCCGATTGTGAGCGTGGCATTTGTGGTGAAATACTGCCGCCAGAGTTGGTGCCACCACTGCCCGAGCCGCCACCGCCGCCGCCACCGCTGCCACTACCACCGCCCGCACCGGTGGTTGTAGTGCCCGTAGAGGCGGAGCTAGTGCCGGTTATTTGTCCATTAGTGCCAGCAGCTGGACTGTGTGCATGCCCACCATTTGTACATACAGCAGTCGTACTGCCGCCACCATCCGAAGCGGCACTAGTATTGTCCGATGCGACCATTGAGGCGGTGTCGGCGACTGATTTACGCGATTTATTCTGCGCGTCATTTAAGCGTCTGCAAAGAGAAAAATCGTTGTATCAGACGAGACTTCGAAGCTATACGTAACGCTTACTCACCTATAGTAGTCGAGCGCTATGCGCACGGGTATAATGATGAGTTCAATCACTTCAGGCACTAAGTCGCCCAATGCTTCGAAGAGCGGTAGTAGCACCAAACCGATGAAACGCACCTGTGAACCGGGTTTACTAACTTTATCCGGATCCATGAAGGGTGTAACGGGAAGTCCTTCGGATTTCTCAGCAGCGCTTTGTGCGAAAAATTCCTGTAATAAGCGATCAAGCCAGGGTTCGGCGACATCCATGGGACGCGCCTCATTGGAGATGTCGGCCACCTTGATGAGCACCATGCAGAGCTACAGAAGAGAGTGGAAGGTTAAAATGAGAAAAAAATTCTCTACGGAGCGCTTTTATTTAAGTGTTTTTCAGCTAAAAAGTATGGTAAATTTTTGATTTTTTTTTCAAGAATTGCTTGAAATTAATATTATAAATTCTTTTCTATGTATTTTTTCATTAATATATACCTGAGCGTAAAAGACATTTATTTTTATCAAGAAAAATACTTTCTTTAAAAAAGAAATCTGAAAAGTATGCTACAAATGTATTAAATTCTTCATAAAATTGTAATTGCTTTAAAGTGGAGTTGGAATTCCACAATTTCTGTAATCTAAAAATTCAAAATAATTTTTTATTTTCACAAAATACTGATTTCGATACAATAATTGCCTATCTACTCACCAAATTGATGTGTGCGCGATTTGTGTAATCGAATATGGGTGTAATCTCTTTGAACTGTGTTAGTATTTCATTGTGGCGCGCCATATCCGTAGCCAATATGCAGCGTATGATGCCCTCACGTATTTCTCTGCAATTGGAAAAGATCATAAATTTAAAATTACACGCTACAAAAAGGAAGTCGAGCGTAAGAATCGATATCAAGAATCAAATGTAATTTGGAGAAAATGTTTTCGTGCATTTCACATGTGTAAGAAATTTCAAATAGCATGTTTGTTTGTGTGCAAGTGTTGCTTTTAGGCGCATAGACTTTTTAAGTTTATTGAATTTTAGACATTTTTGATTTGAAAATGAACTAAAGATTTTAAGATTATAAAAATACGTTTATTTATGTATAAGAAGCTTGAGACAAAATTAATTGAAAGTCGCGCATTAGTTTAGAGATTCTATTTTCTCAATTTTATTGCCATGTGAGGAACCTAAAATGCTTTTCTCTTACTCTTTGCTATACTAATTGCCAAGAGAATTGTCCGCTATGGAAAAACGAATTATGGGTAAACAATTTTAATAGATAGAGTTTCTAGCAACTTGTGTTTTACCTCCACACCCCTTAAAAGCATGTGGAGACCGCAGAAGCTTAAAGCGTAGTCTTGCCAATGCGGGACAAGTGCACAGGAGATGCTCCATTGTTTTCATGGTGCTCTGATCTAGGCTTCCTCTCCTGTAGTCTTCTCAATCTGTCAGCCCCCTCTTGTGGGCGTGGTTAAAAGAAAGAAACGCACGCTCCAGACAGCTGGAGAGAGTGATGCTACAAAATGGTGACGAGGAAATGGCCTAAAAATGGGGATTCATGTAGGATATGACCCCAAACATTAATCAAAGTTAATGTTAAGGAATGGTTCCGGGAACAAAAAATTAATATAATTGAGTGCCTTAAGCCGATAGAGCACTTTTGGTGGATATTACAAAAATAACTGAGGTTTTACATCAAAATTTAATAAGAACTTTGGGAAAAAGTAAAGCGTTGTATGCCATCGATTCTTCTACTTATGCCAAATTTAAAGGCTACACAAATAAATTTTAAAATTAAAAAATTGAAAACTGCGGTATTACTTATTTTGAAGCATTTTCTCGTATTTAAAAAATTAATTATTTTTTGTGCTCTTAAGCTTCAAGTATTGGCTGCCAAGTATAGCAAAAATCAATTATTTTCGTATTGATGTCATTTCATTGCAAACAGAATTGATTCTCTGCTATTTATGCACTGTAATAGCTAATAAAAGGTCCCAGCGATGTTGTAAATGGCAGAACAAATTGTCGACATTAATACAAATACAAATAATACAATGTAAATGTGCCCAAACACACACACACATATATATTTGCACACAAACTTGTAAGCGTTCGGTATGCATAAAAGTTTTAATTACTTTCGCTCAAACTGACCCACATAACATTGTTTTCCGGCAGAAGTTAGGCTGGCATTAAAATTTCTACAGTGTTTATAATCTCATTCTGTTTTTGTTTGTTTTTTGTTTTTTCGTGTTTGCTTTCGCTGCAAATAAATGTTTTTTGTTTAGGTTTATGTTTTATTGTCTTACTTTTACTTATTTTTTAATTTGCCTTTTGGAAATTCTTTATACCCTGAGTTGGAAATATTAAGTTTGTCATGACGTTTATAGCACCCCGTATTAAACGTCGGATACGCTATAAAAAAATATATATCTTTATATAATAGATCAGCGTGACGTGCTGTCGTTTTGGCCATACAGTCTGTCTGACCGTTTTTCCGAAATTTAGCACACGTTCCTTTCTTCCATAGCAGCGGCAAATTTATTAGAGCTATCGGACCATTATAAGGTTTAGATGCCATACAAACTGAACCATTAGAAGCAAGTTCTTGTATGGAAAACCTTTTTATTGTCGAAGTCCGCCGTGGAATCTCCGAAGAAATTCTTCAGATCGCATCACTATAGCATATAGCTGCCATACAAACTGAACCATCAAAATCAAGTTCTTGTATCGAAAACTTTTTTATTTGACGCGATTTACTACCCAAAACTTAACATGAGTTATTGCCTAAAGTAACGGTAAAATCTCCGAATAAATTTCTCTGATCGGTCCGCTATAGCATATAGCTGCCATACAAATTGACCGCTTAAAATCAAGATATTTTTCATTGGTGAAGGGTATACTAGCTTCGGTGCAAACGTAGATAAATGTTTTTTTTTTGTCGCTGTATCTTTGTTGTTGGTTTTCTTTATTGCCCGGCAATGTACTTTATATACCTTTAATATAGTGTCCGTATGCTAACACTCACACGCATGCACATATTTCCAGCAGTCTTTGTTGCCCTTCATTGGCTTCCTGCAAATTGGTTGTTAATCAAGTGTTATTTGCGAAGTAAAACCTTATAATTGACTAACAATTTGTTATATATGTTTTCAGGTTTTTTTTGTTTCTGTTGTAACACTTTTATTTGGTGGCTTTGTTTTTGTTTTGTTTTTATTTTAGTTTTGTTTTTAGTTTTTCTGTTTCTTTTTTTTTGAGGTTTTTTTTGTTTGTCTGTTTTTTTTTGTTTTTCTGTTTTTTTCTATTTTTTCCTTTCTTATATTTTATCTTTTTTTCACATAACTTGCATATTTCACTGCTTATTTGCTGTGTTACTATGGCGGTAGGTCGTGCAGGGCGTATGAGTGATGTGAGGTTGAGCTTGACAGGCATCAAAAGCAGCAGACGGTCAATTTTAAACGGTTAAGTTATACGTTGCCATGTAGGCAATGGTAACATGCAATCAAATATTAAATGCACGCCAACTGCAGCCTAAATGTATGCTAAAAAATATTAAAACCAGCCTAGAAGTGTACAACAAAAGTGTGAAAAGACGTTTTTCAATGCCAAAAAACGCCGCGAAAGGCGGTGAACCGCTGCCAAGCGGAACCTTTTAAAGCAACACACACAAAACTGCACAAAAACTACATTTTTTTGCATATATTTATATGGTACACGCACACACATTTGTGCTTTATAAGCCAAAAATGTGCATTGCAAGCACGCGTTGCCACGAAAAGGTGTTGACTGTCTGCGAAAAAATACCAAAACAAATGCATATCTATGACTGCGGTGCGCTTATGCTGGCACAGACACGCATACATGCGCGTAGAAACGCAGCATACGACCTTCTAGTTGCGCTGCACGCGGTATGTGTAACATTTAATTAAGTGCTCAGCCGCCGGGTAGGTAAATTGTAGATACCAGCACCAGCACCAGCGCATACATATATATATATATATATGTGTGTACCCGTGTTTATTGAAATTCTTACTGTGATATACAAATCGTGGAGTTGCCATATGTAATGCAGTGGCATTCGCTTGGTTGCGTATATATACGCGCAAATTCAGATATTTCTTTCTGCATGTATTTGCAATTTGCACATTTTTGCACGCTCACATATACATATGTATATGTGTGTGCGTGTGATATTTGGCAAAAAAATTTTATTTCTACACACAACCAGGTTAAATGGAATTTTGACACGACCGTTTGCCGGTTGCTGCCCCACAGGCTACCAGCGGCTGAGTCGTGTGCAGTCAGTTGGGGAATGGAAAATAAATTAAGTAAATTCGTTGGTTGTTGAGTGTATGTGGCGTAAGCCGGTGTGTGCTGTTTGCTTAAAAATTCAATATATGCCAAAAAACAAGCGGGGCAGAAATCACAGAAATTCATTAGCTCTCTATCTGCCTCTATATAGTCGTATGCATTTATAAATATACATATATTTATGTATATATAACTGTGTTGTTATTGTAAATATTCATTGCTTCCTCTTTCCTTCTCACAATCCACGCCATCACCTGCTAGTGCCAGATAAATTAGCGCTATCTTATACTAACGTTCCACTTCGGCTGCGAACCCACACTGCAAACCACACACGGGCATGCCTTCTACTTACTCGTAAGTTATTAACTAATGATTCCAAATAATTACCACATAAGAAAACAGGCTTACTGCCGAAGCGCGACTACAAGCGCCAGTGGCATTGCCATGGCACAAAGCCGTAAAACGTGGCATCACCACTGTCGTGGCAGGCAGCTGTGCAGAGCCGCGGGCATAAGTATCTTAAGAAATCAACTGAAGAGCTAATGCGAGTAACGTTAAGTGGTCTTAAGGCGAATTTTCTGTTTTCTTTCTCGACTTCGCTGTTGAGTGCAAGCGAGTGTGTATGAAAAAATTTAGTAATTTTAGCATGTATTTATGTATGAAAGATGGGTTGGTTTGCGGCAAATGTAGTAATTAAATTTTTCTTGTTACAAATTTTAATATTTTCTGGCATGACTTAATTTGAGCAGGAATTTTATTAAATTTGCTTTGTACTTTTTTTAATTTTTAATCCCCCTTGGAACTTTTTAATTTTTAAATTT